ATTTATTGAGTGCTTCGAGATACCAAAGATCTTTTGCCGTGACTAGTAGATAATTTAACGAAGCATGATAATGAGTTTAATTTTAAGAGTACATTTTCAGACGATTGCAAATAAAAGAACACAGTGTATTCTCCCTCGTGAACAATAATGTGGACTTCGAAATTCTAGTTTAAGTATTAAAATAAATTCATCCTACCGGGGCAGCTTCAGCTCCGTCATCTATGTGACCGGTAGTCTGACTGGGTGATAGTTGCAGCTGATAAGCCATGTCAGCCTCGCCTGAATCAATTAAGTCTGCTTGTTCAAGCCCCATGAGACGCGTTTCAGCCCCAAATGTCTCTTCTACACCAAACCCCTCTCTCGCAGCAGCCTGTCGACTAGCTGACAGCAACCATGCGTCCAAGCCGACACCTTGAGAGGCTGGCGGCGCCCGAGGTGCTGGGGATGGTGGAGGTGACGATCCGGCCGAGGATATGGAGACAGAGGGCCGACATAGGTGACCAAGACTAGCCATCCTTGCCTGGAGCCATGAGCCACTGGCCACGGCTGGCCGAGAGGCGGCCGCCAAATGCAGAAGGGCTTGGTGGCGATGAGTGTGATGATGTGAATGTCCACTTGCCAGGGATATAGGTTGAAGGACTTGATGGAAGCATGGTTGACTGGAAAGGGCCATATCAGAAGCAGAGCAGCATTGACTGGAGGCACGCAAGCGTAGAGTGCGGCGGGGAAAGGGCAACAGGCTCTCTTCAGATTGGCGTACGACTGTAGGGCCGAATAATGCTGCATTAGAAGTGTGTGCAGAACTGGAGTCGGCTGAGTCAATTGAATCCGGGGCTGCGACTCCCGAGTTCCCTAGATGTGGCTGAGGCTTGTGCCAGTTTAAACTAACGGTGCGCCGACGTGGCAATACACAGGGCAGACGAGCATGTCGAAGTCCAACGGCCAAAGGCGGTTGACGAAGGTCGATGCGCCCAGAGGGTAATTCGTATTTAGTCAGGTTGTTCACGGCGGGCTATTAAGGATAGTATAAGGTAAGGGCCAAAGTTAGGTTGTATGTCTTAGAATTATTGAATAAAGGATAGCAAAGGTTTTAGGTATGAGAATAATTTATTGGAGCTTCAAATAATTGAAATTAAAATTCTTGG